GCCGAGGGTTGCGATCCCGTTGCCGGTCCCGTTCCGGTACGGGCACGACACTGAGGGTTGCAATCCGTTGCCGGTCACGAAAAAAGACAAAAAGGAAAAAAAAAAATTTTTAATTTTTAATTTTATTTTTTTTCATGCATGCTTTTAAAGCTTTGTACCATTTACGTTTTAAAAAATATTGTGGGGCCGGCCCAGTGGCGCACTGGAGAGTGCACCGCTTGGGAGTGCAGCGGTGCTCCCGCCNTTTTTAATTTTATTTTTTTTCATGCATGCTTTTAAAGCTTTGTACCATTTACGTTTTAAAAAATATTGTGGGGCCGGCCCAGTGGCGCACTGGAGAGTGCACCGCTTGGGAGTGCAGCGGTGCTCCCGCCGAGGGTTCAGATCCCATGTGGAGACCGGTTCCCGCTCACTGGCTGAGCGTGGTGCAGGCACAACACTGAGGGTTGCGATCCAGTTGCCGGTCAGTAAAAAAAGACAAAAAGGAAAAAAATAAATTAATTAATTAATTAAAAAAATATATATTGTGTGACAGAACCAGAGCACTGCTCTCTTCAGTCTCACCCCATCCAGGGAGGGAGTTAGAAGTGATGCTTAAACACACCATTTTAAAGGTTGGACAATTGTGAATGGGGGGATGGCATTGCTCAAAGAAAAGTAAGTGTGGAAGTAAGAAGCAGAATTCATGCATGTCCTGATTCCCAGTGCGATGCTCAGCCCCAGAGCTGGGCCAGCTTATTCATCTCTCACATCAGCCCCTCTTCCTTTCCTCCCTCCCTCTCTTCTTCCCTATATAATTTCCTCTTTCTCTTCTCTCCCTTCCCTGTCTCCACAGATGGCACCTGGAGTAAAACTGGCAACTATCCCTTACCACATCCAGTTCGGTTTTCTCCAGGACATCCACCAGCACCTCAATCTTGGTCTTATTGTTGAAAAGAAAGTCATCGTCTACCCAGAGAACGTATTTGGTGGTGACCTGAGATATGGCCAGGTTCCTACCAGCAAACCAACCCTGCAGATGGAACAAGGTCAGATCAGTGGTTGCCCACCCTGGCTGCATGTTAGAATCACCTGGGGAGCTTTCTAAATTCTCAGTAGCCGGGGGCACCCCAGACGAATTAAGTCAGAATCTATGGGGTAAATATATAGCCAAGGTTGAAAATCACTGGGTCAAAGGGAGTCCACGTCTCGGAGAAATACTGGAAAGGACAGTAATGATCTGGATCAAAGACCGAGACAAAGAGAGGCTAGAAAGTCCTTCTATGGCCCTGTGGCCTATATGAATGGACTGAAGTCGTTTTTCGCTTGGCCTGACAGACTTCTGCAACTTTGCTTCTATCTCCTGGAAGATGTCAAGTTTAGGGGGCATCTGGTATGTATAATATCCATTTCCTCCTTTGCCCTTTCAGAAAGATATGTGGGAGAGGAAGAGGGAAAGAGGAAAAAAGAGAGGACGGGAGAGAGAAGGAGAGAGAGAAAGAGAGAGCTTGGGTGGAATCACAGGATTTCTCTGCTGTTGGATCACATGTTAGAAATGCAGATCCAACATCTACATCCTCACGCCTCCCACTCCAGGACTCTGCACTCTTGGGAAGACCACTGAAGCAGCTCATCCAGGGTAGAACCTGACTCAGGGCCCTCTTGTCCTGGGACCCAGGTGTCCCTCTAATCTGGGAGGGACATACCTTCCCAAAGGGCATGGTGTAATACTCCACGTGGTCATCTTCGATTTTCAGAGGCTTATTGCTGTCATCAGCCACAATCACGGTCAGGTCTGGGTAAAACTCTCGAATACTCTGTAACATGATCTTGAACTTGTGGGGCCGGAGGAAAGTCTTGGTGGCAATGGTCACCAGGTTTCTGAGCTGCCTCTCTGGACAAAAAAAGGGTGGACGTCAGTGTTTCTGAGTTGGATTGGAAAGTAAAGACATTTACAATGTACTCTTTTTTTGAAATTTTATGTCATTTTCCTCTCCTGGTTCTATTGGCTCCACTATGCCATTTTTTACAATTTGATGTTTTTTGTTTGCTTGTTTTGTTTTTTTGGCAGCAGGCTGGAACAGGGATCTGATCCCTTGACCTTTGTGAAGGAAGAGACAAAAATCACTGTTATTTGTCTGAGACTATATATTTTTTAAAATCACTGTAAAGAGTGCAACAAGGATGCTGTTTATAAGTTCAACATTCAAAAATCACAGATGTTCCCATATACTAGCAATAACCAATTAAAATGTAGAAGAAGAAGACCCACTTAACAATAATAGAAAATAAGGTACCTGAGACTAAATCCAATAAAATATGCTCAACTCCAATACAAATAAAATTACAAAACAAATTATGAAACTATAAAGAGACCTATCGAGAGGTATACCAGATTCATTGGTGGAAATATTTGACTTTATAAAGCTGTCAATTAATCTCTAATTAGTCTATAAATTCAATGCAATTCCAATCAAAATCTCAAGGGATTTTAGAGGATCTTGATAAGCTCATCTTAAAATTCTAATGGAAAGGGGGCCGGCCCGGTGGCGCACTGGATAGTGCGGCAGCTTGGGAAGCGTGGCGGCGCTCCCGCCCGAGGGTTCGGATCCCACATACAGACCGGTTCCCGCTCACTGGCTGAGCGAGGCGCGGGAGCAACACCGAGGGTTGCGATCCCGTTGCCGGTCCCCGGTCCGGTACGGGGGCAACACTGAGGGTTGCGATCCGTTGCTGGACACGGAAAAAAGACAAAAAAAAATAAAAAAAAAAAATTCTAATGGAAAGGGCCGGCCCATGGCTCACTCGGTAGAGTGTGGTGCTGATAACACCAAGGCCACAGGCTCAGATCCTATATAGGGATGGCCGGTTTGCTCACTGGCTGAGCGTGGTGCTGACAACACCAAGCCAAGGGTTGAGATCCCCTTACCGGTCATCTTTTGTAATAAAAAAAAAAAAAAAAAATTCTAATGGAAAGGGCCGGCCCATGGCTCACTCGGTAGAGTGTGGTGCTGATAACACCAAGGCCACAGGCTCAGATCCTATATAGGGATGGCCGGTTTGCTCACTGGCTGAGCGTGGTGCTGACAACACCAAGCCAAGGGTTGAGATCCCCTTACCGGTCATCTTTTGTAATAAAAAAAAAAAAAAAAATTCTAATGGAAAGTAAGAATCAAAGCAGACCTGAGAAAATTTTGCAAGTGAAGTACAGTGAGTGGGTATTTGTCCCTACCAGGTACCAAACCTATTATAAAGCTTTGGTAATTAAAACATTACAAGGGTCTGTTTGGTTAGCTCAGTTGGTTAAAGCAAGGTGTTGATAACAGCAAGGTTGAGGGTTCAGATTCCCCAATGGGAGAGCCGCAAAAAAAAATAAATAAATAAATAATAAGAAGAAGAAGAATAAGAATAATAAACCATATAGAATTAGTCCAAGGATAAACAGATCAATGAGACCTAACAAAGCCCAGATTTAGACTCCTATATACAGGTGGCAATACAAACCAGGGAGAAGGAGGATGAACTATTCAATAAATGCTCCTGGGATATTATTAATATACAAAAAACTCAGATCCCCATCATATATCACATATAAAAATAAATTCCAAGTGGATTAAATATCTAAATGTAAAACTAAAATGTGCAACTTTAGAAAAAAATACAGAAGATCTTTATGGTTTCAGTGAAGGGAAGAATTTCCTAAACAAGCACTAAAAGCAAAAGTTGAAAGAAAACTAACCGAGGGACCCGAGGCATGGAGAAGGGGACAGGAACCCCCTCCCACAATCAGGCACACTGTGCCAGTGCCTCAGGGCCCACCCAGTGACCAGAGGTCTGGAGCCAGGGACCCGACCCCCCTTCCCACAAGGAGGCACACTGCGCCAGCACCTCAGGGCCTGTCCAGGGACTGGAGGAATGGAGCCGGCAGGTGGATACTCCTCCCACAACCAGGCACACTGTGCCAGTGCCTTGGGGCCTGCCCAGGGACCTGAGGCATGGAGTCAGGGACCAGACACTCCCCACAAACAGGCACACTGCCAGTGCCAAGGAGTACGCCAAAAATGTCACCTCCATGTGGGTGGCCCATCACAGCCACCACAATAACCATGCCTGCCGTGAAAGTAGCTAGATGCCACAACCACCACACAGATGGTCTGCCAACCACTGGAGTGCATTGACACAAGGACAGTCACCAGCAGAGATAAAGAAGAGGATGTCTCTCTCCACAAAGCCCATTTGAGAGTGACAGAAAAGCATCTGCTCTATGATAATATTGNCAACACTGAGGGTTGCGATCCGTTGCTGGACACGGAAAAAAGACAAAAAAAAATAAAAAAAAAAAATTCTAATGGAAAGGGCCGGCCCATGGCTCACTCGGTAGAGTGTGGTGCTGATAACACCAAGGCCACAGGTTCAGATCCTATATAGGGATCGCCAGTTTGCTCACTGGCTGAGCGTGGTGCTGACAACACCAAGCCAAGGGTTGAGATCCCCTTACCGGTCATCTTTTGTAATAAAAAAAAAAAAAAAAATTCTAATGGAAAGTAAGAATCAAAGCAGACCTGAGAAAATTTTGCAAGTGAAGTACAGTGAGTGGGTATTTGTCCCTACCAGGTACCAAACCTATTATAAAGCTTTGGTAATTAAAACATTACAAGGGTCTGTTTGGTTAGCTCAGTTGGTTAAAGCAAGGTGTTGATAACAGCAAGGTTGAGGGTTCAGATTCCCCAATGGGAGAGCCGCAAAAAAAAATAAATAAATAAATAATAAGAAGAAGAAGAATAAGAATAATAAACCATATAGAATTAGTCCAAGGATAAACAGATCAATGAGACCTAACAAAGCCCAGATTTAGACTCCTATATACAGGTGGCAATACAAACCAGGGAGAAGGAGGATGAACTATTCAATAAATGCTCCTGGGATATTATTAATATACAAAAAACTCAGATCCCCATCATATATCACATATAAAAATAAATTCCAAGTGGATTAAATATCTAAATGTAAAACTAAAATGTGCAACTTTAGAAAAAAATACAGAAGATCTTTATGGTTTCAGTGAAGGGAAGAATTTCCTAAACAAGCACTAAAAGCAAAAGTTGAAAGAAAACTAACCGAGGGACCCGAGGCATGGAGAAGGGGACAGGAACCCCCTCCCACAATCAGGCACACTGTGCCAGTGCCTCAGGGCCCACCCAGTGACCAGAGGTCTGGAGCCAGGGACCCGACCCCCCTTCCCACAAGGAGGCACACTGCGCCAGCACCTCAGGGCCTGTCCAGGGACTGGAGGAATGGAGCCGGCAGGTGGATACTCCTCCCACAACCAGGCACACTGTGCCAGTGCCTTGGGGCCTGCCCAGGGACCTGAGGCATGGAGTCAGGGACCAGACACTCCCCACAAACAGGCACACTGCCAGTGCCAAGGAGTACGCCAAAAATGTCACCTCCATGTGGGTGGCCCATCACAGCCACCACAATAACCATGCCTGCCGTGAAAGTAGCTAGATGCCACAACCACCACACAGATGGTCTGCCAACCACTGGAGTGCATTGACACAAGGACAGTCACCAGCAGAGATAAAGAAGAGGATGTCTCTCTCCACAAAGCCCATTTGAGAGTGACAGAAAAGCATCTGCTCTATGATAATATTGGGGGACCTGATCACACCTCTCAGTATTGGACAGATCATACAGGCAACAAATCAACAGAGTAACCATTACTCTTTCAGAAGGAGAGAAGAGATCTAGGGTAATTAGAGGGGGAGGGAGGACGGAGAGACAGGATGGGGAGAGATTGGACAAGGGGCATAAGGAATAATTATGATTTGAGGGCTGGCCCATGGCTCACTTGGGAGAGCGTGGTGCTGATAACACCAAGTCAAGGGTTAAGATCCTCTTACTGGTCATCTTAAAAAAAAAAAAGAAGAAGAAGAAGAAGAAGAACTACGATTTGTAATAATATATACGCTAGTAATATTGATTTGATCAACATATCTCAATGTTGAACCCCCAAAATATCTATAATCAATTTTGATTTGATAAAAAAAATTTTTTTTAAAGAAAACTAACCGATTTTTCTATATTAGAGGATAAAACTTCTATAAAACAAAAGACCCCAGAAACAAAAATCAAAAGATAAGTTACTAATAAAAGATCAGAATCTAAACCTTCACACCATACAGTGTGATAACTTTTATGAAAAGCTCAAAAACACATAAAACCACACTAGATGCTACGTGTGTGCGTGTGTGTAAAAATCCACATATTGAACGTACAAAAGCAGGGAAAAGAAAGATACAGACGATCATGGTTGCTGGAGGAAGAGAGGAGAATAAGACTGTGGATATTTCCATTGTATATGTAACACTTTATATTTAAAACAAATCTGAAGTCCAAGAAAGGTTTTTGGTGAATTTTCTTGAACTTATTTATTTTATATTTGAGGTAGTTATTACGTTAAGCAAATATTTTAAATCTTTCTCAATAGACATTTAATGCTTTTACTTTAAAATTATAATTTAATTAATATTTGAATAAAACAGATTGTATTTTGAATATATAAGTAATAAATTCAAAAAAATGTCAAGTGGGTCAAAATGCTAAATACAAGGGGTCTTCAGAAAGTTCATGGAAAGATTCATATTACCTTTTAATTCCATTTTTCCATGAACTTTTTGAAGTATCCTCATATATCAAAAGTTAAATACTCATTTATTTCCTTATTTATATACATATTTGGGGGGGAGGGGCAGTGTCTGGTACAGGGATCTGAACACCTGACCTTGGTGTTATAACACGGTGCTTGACCAACTGAGCTAACCGGCCAGCCCCTCAAAATTTATACCATGAAAATATTTCTCTCCATCCCTGTCCCCTGACTACTTG